CGCATATTTTCAGTGGGAGGTTTTTATATATATCTATTTTTCATTCAAAACGTAGGCTTGTGTATCTTACCGTGTCATGTGCTTTTTCCTACCTTAATTTTACATATTTCTTTGTGATACTCTTTGTTAAACAGGATTTCGTTTTATATAATTGACGCAATTGACTTGGACTTTTTTGAAATTAGGTCACGATTTGTGATACTTGACACCTTCTCAAAGCATGATTATGTGAAGGCTTCTTCAGTGTATTTTTTCCATTCACTATTTTGGTGTGGGGCAGGCCTTTCAGAGTTTATGATTCTTCTTTTTTATCGAATGATTTGGATTTTCATCGTAATATTTGTGTTTATGTTTATTTCTCAGAATGCGTTTAGATAAACGTCATTTAGGCTTAGGAAATTGATGCGAAGAAAAGTTGGGTTTCGAGGAATTTCTTGTTTCATAATTGTTGAGCTTACTTCCATTTCGAGTGAAAGTATTGGGTGAAGAGATTCGAAGGTCGGTTCCACCAGAAGACGACGGCGGATTCCTCTTGACCAGCTGTCGATACTTTACTGGAAGATTCATGCTGACGCTGTTTCCGAGGCAATCTCCTTCGATTCCGGTGAACCCGTGCTGGCTTTACTGGAAGATTCATGCTGACGCGGTTTTCGAGGCAATCTCCCTCGATTCCGGTGAAAAGGTGCTAAGCTTTCGTCCGTCATATGACGGACATCGGGCAGATTCATGCTGACGCTGTTTCCGAGGTAATCTTCTTCGATTCCGGTGCAAACTTGCTTAGTTTCGTGCGTCGGAGGTCGGTTCCACCAGAAGACGACGGCGGATTCCTCTTGACCAGCTGTCGATTGGCTTTACTGGAAGATTTGTGCTGACGCTGTTTCTGAGGCAATCTCCTTCGATTCTGGTGAAAACGTGCTAAGCTTTCGTCCGTCATCCGGTGACGCTATTTCCGAGATAATCTCCTTCGATTCAGGTGAAAAGGTGCTAAGCTTTCGTCCATCATATGGCGAAAATCATCAGAGCAAGGCGGTTCCACCAGAAGACGACGGCGGATTCCTCTTGACCAGCTGTCGATTGGCTTTACTGGAAGATTCATGTGGGTGAAGAGATTCGAAGTTCGATTCCACCAGAAGACGACGGCGGATTCCTCTTGACCAGCTGTCGATTGGCTTTACTGGAAGATTCATGCGGTTTCCGAGGCAATCTCCTTCGATTCCGGTGAAATGGTGCTAAGCTTTCGTCCGTCATATGACGGACATCATCAGAGCAACGTAACATCGTCACAACAAAACTTTCGCTAACGAGTCAAGAAAACTCACCGGAAAATCCCTAAAAATTGGTATATATACTCTACATCTGGCCTCTTTGATCAAGTATAAAGTGATTTGTTTAG